CATCACCCGAAGTAGATCGGCTAAGCGACGGGCAACCAACATGAACGCTAATGCACAGAATCCGAATCCGTAGCAGAATGTTAATTAACCAAATCCTAATCAAGCTTCCCCACGAGCACAGACTCCCATGACACCACCTGATCTCTATCTATTCGACCCTGCACATCATCTTGCAGGAGCATGGTTGGCCACGCTCCGAGCACATCAGTATGACGATAACGAAGCTCAAGTAAACATTCCCGCTCGATTAGGAGGAGACGCTCATCACTGGTTTAGTACCTATGTATGGGTAGATCTTCCGACCTTCGAAAGAGATTTTCTGAATCGATTTGATTATGTCCACCCAGAGCAAGCACTCTACATGATCAAAGACCAGGTGCAAAAACCTCTTGAGTCTATCGCAGAGTATCCAAGTCGGTTCTACCGAATGTTTGTGAAAACTGAGCGAGGTGAGCAAGTCGGGAGAGATTTGTTTATTGATGGTCTTCGCAGTCGAACGATAAGGGCAAAGCTGCGGAAGCAGTTTTCCCCCATCAATCACACACTGCAACAGATCATGGCCGCTGCAGAGGAGATGGAACGAAAGTTCGCGGTGAACTTCCTGGAAGGAGAAGACTATCCTAAGGAAGGAGATTCATCCGAACTCGCAAGGGCAAGAACTGAGTTGGCCGCGTTGCAGAACAAGTTCGAGAATATGGGATTTGTATCTGGCCCGGTCATCTATCTGGAACAGATAGCCCCTAAACGACCCGCCTCGAGTGTAATCACGAGTGTCCCTGTTCCTGTAATGTCTGCACCTGTAATGACAGCCCCCCCGCCACCGATTGAGAACCCGGTAAGGACAAATGAGTCTACTGCGATTTTTGAGCTGACCAAAACGTTAATTAGCCTAATCCAGGAAAGCAAAAAGGAACAGCGAGAGCATAACGCTCGGATAGAAGTCATGATGAGAAACATGCGGCCCATCGCGGTGCGCGCCCCTCCAATCCAACAAGGGCTAGTCCCGGCGCCCGCTCTCGGAGGAGGCGCAGGCAATCTGAACGTCTGTTATGCATGCCATCAACCAGGGCATCTAGCCCGTGACTGCCCTCACCGGCCCCTGCAACAACGGGTCGGGGTCGCGCCGCTGGTAGCGGCTTCCATCGCTAACGGACCTGGACGGGTAGGAGCCCTGATGGAAGAAATGGAAGGTGTAGGAAGTGCGTTAGCAACCACGAAAGAGGCTGTTGAGCTCATTCCGTTAGATCAGTATGTATCGCTTGGTTATCCTAGGCTCAGAATGATTGGAACGATCAGACCGGCGCCTGGACAGAAGAAGTGGTGGAATGGCGACCTTCTCCAGGAGAGATGGAGTCGGGAGGACCCACCTTCGTCACTAGGGAAATCGATGTGCTAAACATCGTCCGAGCTTTGGACCATCGGATCCCACTTCCGATCGGTCATCTGCTCTCGATCTCTTAACAAGCTAATGAGCGAATGCTACAGCACTGTAAGGCGAACCGAAAACGATTCGCCCTCGCCCGAACAACGAATGTGAAAGCTAAAACCCCCATGCCAGACGAAAACATGGCTGACACATCGGATCCAATACGGGTAGGACTAATACAGAAAGATGATAATTTCTTGCGGATTAAACCCATTCCGTGAAAATCTGCAGAATGTGACATCGAAATATGGGGAATTCCATACAATGCAATCATTGATTTGGGAGCTGCTGTTTTGGCTATCTCACCGCGAGTAGTTGAGAGGGCAGGTAGGAAGAACGATCTGATCATGCTTACAGAGAGGGACCAGCTCGTTTCGACAGACGAAGAAAAAATTAAAACAGCGGGACGGATGACCAATGTTGCTTTTCGACTAGGGAAGGTGCATGCGTTAGGAGACATCGTGGTATTAGACGTAAATACCTACGACGTTCTTTTCGGTCTTCCTTCCCTTGTGGCATTACGAGCGAACTTGGATTTCGAGCGACGGTCAATCATCCTCCGAAATACGGGAGGAAAGCCCTATGCTGTACCTATGAGACTGACTCTTCGTACTACTATCAACGCAGTCCCGCGAGTTTCGCCGATGATAGCGGGGACTCTTCGTATGATTACTTGGAAAAACTCCGCAAACGATGAGTCATCATCGAAGGATGCGGATAGCAGTGACTAAAATGATCCGGAAATTCTGAAGCTAGCACGACAGCGCATTTACTACCCGCCACCCTGAACGATTGCAAGAACGATGCACCTAACCAATCGGAATATTCAAAGGACCAAGGCGATGATTTTGGGTGAACCCCTCGTACAGATTTCGAGGATGGTCGATTCTTTGGAACCCCCGCAAACCCTGTACGAAGGAATCTCCCCTCTCCTCGCCCAGTACAACGACGAAAAGCACTACTGCGATATCACAGATCTGCCAAAGTCCCTATTGACACCTGCAAAAGAAGTACGACTGCTACGCCTGGGGGCGGAAGCCAGTTCTTTGGAACCCCCTGGGCGTCTCGAGGCTGAATCAGACGAGCTCGGAGTAAAGATCGCAACTAAAACCGTACCATGGCAAGATATCTGCGATGGGATCACCCCGGAAGGACACGTGGCCATCCGAGAGGAAGACGCCCAGATGATGGCCACGGTGTTCTCCTGGCGATCGAACCATTCGTTTATCTCTGCGCCACCGCCCGATGTGGCGAAACAAGCACGCACGAAGCAGATCGACGTACGGATCTGGGACCAACTTTTTGAGTTACACGTGCCACAGTACGTACCTGATGAGATTCATTGTTTGATTGCGGACATGCTGACGGAGTATCAGGGAGCGATTAGTTGTGTGTCCGATTTTGAATTCAACGCGGGTTCCGCGTTGAAAAATTAAACGCGCATTGAATTCGCGTTAAACTCCCATTCAAACGCGAGTTGGACGCGAATTAACGGGGTCCGGGATGATTTTTTTCCTGGGCTAAAACTTATCCAAAAAAAAACTAAAAAATATGGGGTTATAGGTTTTTTTAAGGACTAAAATCCTATAGTTTTATTTTTATTTTTTGATGCTTAAATTTATTTAAAATAAAAATAAAAAACATAAATACACAATAAAAAAACAAAAACTAAAATGAAATGAGTGTTTTTGTTTTGGGTTTCACACAGATTTTTTAAGGGCTAAAACAAAAACAAACAAAACAAATAAAAAATATAGGGTTGTAGATCTTTCAAATATGTACAACAATTTATTTTTTATTTTATTTTTTTGAAACTTCGTGTATTTAAAAAAAAAATCAAAACCATAAAAAGCAAATTAAAAAAAGGAAAAAAAGACACACACACACACAAAATTGGGCCTGTAGCAGGTTGCATGAGTCTGGCGTCAGTTGGTTGAGGGAACCCAGGCCCTGGGCCGCCTGTGTGAATGTATGGAAAGCAGGCCTTGGGCTGGATACGGGTACTGGGCCACACACAGGCCAAAGGCAGTTGGGGGCATGCAACCACCTCAGGCCCAATGCCTGTTCTCGTTCGTGCTGTGCCTCAGGCTACCGGGGCCTACTGGAAGCTTCCTGGGACTGAACACAGGCATGCCACTTCGATATAGCAAAGGGCTTGCCTCCACATTGGGCATTCGGGTGCTGGCTGCATACTGCGTAAGCGCTGCCGCGCTGTAGCTCGCTGGCACTCACGCGCTCACGGGCAAGCAGGAAGGAGCAGGCAACCATAGCCGAGTTGCGCTGCTGTAAGCTGGGTGTGGCGCAGGGTGGTCCTTGGGTGCAAGTGGCATCTGTGTGTTGGGGAACGAGGTTGTGAGTAAGGCGAGACACACTCTCACGCGCAGGCACAGACACACTTACACTTACACACACACACTTACAAACACACACATACACACACAGTGTCACACTTACAAACACACACATACACAAACACACACATACACATACACACACATACACATACACACACACACTTACAAACACACACATACACTTACAAGCACAGACACACACACACACACACTAACAAACACACACATACACAAACACACGCGCATACATTCATATTCATGCACAGACACACTCTCACGCGTAGGCATATACATACACAAATACGCGCACACACAACACACTTACACACACATAACTGGGGCGTTGGGGGTTGGGGGATG